TCCAACGTTCTCAAGACGCTGGCGCCAGCATGCATAAGACGGGTGAACATCCAGATGAAAAATTATACCCACCCCCTACCCTGAGGACCATATGACCAGGAAGCATAATTTACGGTTTTATTTTTCATGTCATTGTACCGGCCTGAAAACAATTGTTTACCAATTTGACTTTTCAATCGCAGAAATCAGTTAGAGCTCTTAATCCGGGTGATGAACGAAAACAAGCTTAAATCCTCAGTATTTTTTTATTTAGGGAGGAAGACGCTGGGTCAGCTAGGAGTCAAGAGCACTTGAGGCTAATTTAAGACTTCTGTAGGAGGCTGTAAATTGGGGTTCACTGAGAGAGATGGTTGTTATCAGGATGCAACGTGGATCTTTAGCCAGTGCCGGTTTCAGCAGGTGCGTCAGTTTGGAGTCCCGGAAGGGAACGGGAAGGCGACATTTAGGGTAATTAACGTTGTGCCGGAGGGCATTCAACACGCGACCAAGTACAACACCTGATAAGTCAAACATCCTAAAATGCAAAAAGAGATAGTTCCAAAAGACAGGTCGAACAAAAAGCACGAATGATAACATGTTCGACATACGATCAGTTTCTTTCGTTATATTCTTGCGCCAGAATACCGATAAAAAGTTGAGAATAACTAAATGAATATGGCCACTTAGTTTAAGGCAGAATACACTTTTACACCAAACGTATTGAGGCGAAGATGCCGGATCTACCAAACTTTTAGAAAAAATAAATTACTTCATCCATAATTTAAAATGCTTACAATTGGGTCTCAGCTGCGACACACTACTAAAAACGGGTTGTCCGCAAATTACGTGACCTAGTGTTTCGGTTTAACATTAGACAACTTTTAAGAAAGCAAACCTAAGCTTTGTTTGAGAAAGCGAAAAGTTGCATCATTTGGTGTAAAACGCAACGAAATAATCATTAGTATATAAACTAGTAAGAATGATCCACAGATACCTGCCCAAAAATTAGGACGTATGTCATATAGGAAAATGTGTTTTCGCTTCGAAAATATTAATTAAGTAAAATTATATTAGGGACATAATCCTAAAAAGTTACATTACAACTAAAGACAAGGGAAACTGGAATTGCATTTTGTG